TGGACTTCGGGGTCCGAGGCCAGGCAGACAAAATCAGTGCAATTCACTAAAACCAGCAACGGCTTAGCTAAACCTCACGTGCATACGTGCATGTGCAAAGTGCAAAGAAGAGCAACTACGATGATTAAAGGCCTGGAGACTTAAACGTATGAAGAACGGTTGCAGGGTTTGGGAATGGCCAGTCTAGAGAAAAGAAGGACTAGGGGGGACGTGATAGCAATAATCCAGTATTTGAGGGGCCACCAAAAAGATGAAGGGGTGAATCTATTTTCCAAAGCACCAGAAGGCAGGATGAGAAATGATGGATGGAAACCAATCAAAGAGAGAAGCAACCTGGAATTAAGGAGAAACCTAATGAAACATACAAAGAACGGTTGCTGGAATTGGGTATGTCTAGTTTAGTGAAAAGAAGGACATGATAGCAGGGTCCCAATATCTCATAAAGAAGAGGGGGGGTGTGTCAAATTATTTTCCAAAGCACCAGAAGGCAGGACAAGAAGCAACGGGTGGAAACTAATCAAGGAGAGAAGCAACCTGGAACTAAGGAGGAATTTCCTGATAGTGAGGGCAATCAATCGCTGGAACAACTTGCCTCCAGAAGTTGTGGGTGCTTCATCACTGGAAGTTTTTAAGAAGAGACTGGACAGCCATTTGTCTGAAATGGTCTAGGGTCTCCTACTTGAGCAGGGGGTTGGACTAGAAGACCTCCAAGGTCCCTTCCAGCTCGATTCGGATTCGGATTCATGTGTGAATTCTTGCAACCATCCCATCTTAATTCTGAAAAATCCCCCATAGCAAAACATGTTGTGTGTGTGTGGGGGAAATATCTCCCCCCTGCCTGCCGTTAACAAGATTAAATTTGAAATTGAAACAGGAGGGGGGAAAAAGAAGGATTTCCCCTGCTGGTTTTATGGCTCAGGATGTTTACTGATGCAGATATGAAGGGGGATCCTAGAGTCTTGTTTATATGTCTTTCAGCTCTCTTGCTGCAGTGCCTTATGGGAGACGGAGTCTTTGCAATGAAGTTCTTGCTTCTAGAAAACAAGGGTAAATCTAGAGTGGGAGGAAAGCTAGATTTAAACCCAAAGCCAGAGAGCTGAATTCCACTGTTATAAAACCTCTTGTGCACTATTTAGTTTTAAAGTAGATGCAGATATATAAATGAACCCATCTTGAGGATGGCTAAGTTAGTTCATGGTTAATTGTGATGGAGTCACCCCAACCTGGTTGAGTTATGCTAAGCCTTAAAAGTTGGTTTGTAAATCCTAACACTTTGACTCTCAGAACAGGTTAACCCCAAATCCTGAGTTTGGCAAAATTTCTCCAGGGTTGACTTTGGCTTATTGCATTTATGCCCCCAGCTTTCCACTCCAAAATGGTGCTGAAAGCCCTCAGGAGATAGAAAAGAGATAGATTATAATGAAATGCGTCGTTCAGGAAATATAAATGCATAAAAAAGAGAGAGAAATTGGAAGCATCTTATTAGCTAAAATCCAGCATGTTTTAATGCCGGTCAGGTGTCTGAAAGAAGGGCTAAAGAGGAATATCCTGTGGCAAGGAGTTCCATAGATCTTGGAACAAGAATTAAAGAAAAGCAGAGTGATATTAGCTAAGGAAGGGAGAGAGGGAGGGAGGGAGGAAGGAAGGAAGGAAAGGAAGAAAGAAAGAAAGAAAGAAAGAGAAAGAAAGAAAGAAGAAAGAAAGAAAGAAAGAAAGAAAGAAAGAAAGAAAGAAAGAAAGAAAGAAAGAAAGAAAGAAGGAAGATGGGAGGGAAGGAAGGAAGGAAGAAAGAAGATGGGAGGAAAGGAACGAAGGAAAGAAAGAAGGAAATGAGAAAAACAGACTGAGATTCTGCTTTGCTGTTCTGATTTTTATTTTATGTTTTTAACCTGCAAATATTCTGAAAATGGCAATGCTGCGTTAACAGGGTACCAACACTGATCTTCGAATTTCCAGATTTTTCCACCTTTTTTCCCCTATTTTTTTGGGGGGGGGGGAGCCCTCTGGGATGTCTCCCCTTCCCCTAAGAGAAGCCAGGAGGAGAGAACAAATGAAAAGGAAGGTGGATAGAATGAAGGACGTGTGTGCACCCTTAACCGTTCCTGTAAGGATTGTGGGAATTTCAGCATCTTTTTTCCCCCCCAAAATTTTGCAAGATGGAAGGGGACTCCGCTTTCTCTCCTGAGGGGTGTGTGTGTGTGTGTGTGTGTGTGTGCAAATAACCTTCTGGTTGCTTTCCAACCATGCCTGGATGGAAGCTGGGCCTTTTTTGAGAGGGGCGCTCTAGCTAAGTGAAGGCCACCAAGCCAGAAGACCAAAAGGAGGTCAAGAAGTAGATCTTAGACAGCGGGTTCCCCTGATGGATCGTCCTCCTGCGAAGGACGCTGCTGTCGTGCGCCAAGATTCCCCTTCAGCAGCAATTAAGATCATCCGGTGGTTAGAAGGTTGTCACCCTGGGAAACGCAGGAGACTCCAGCCCTGCATCCAGAGGCCTTGAGAGGTGGCTTTTCCCCTGAGGCCTCCACAGAGGAAGATGTTTCTCCTCTTCATCCCGCTGTCATGCGCCAAATGCTCCCGCCAGCCTCCTTCGTGACCATCCAGGGTTATGGTGAGTCACGGTCAGCTGCCTTCTCCGCCCGGATGCGTCCGGAGACGCTGCTGCTACTGCTGCTGCTGTTGCGTGTTTGCAGAGGCTGGTGGCAAAATGCCGTCCTGCACCGGTTGTGCTGTACACCTCCGTCCGAAATAAACCGAGATTGTCTGGCCTGCCTTGATTGGCGTGCGAGTTAAGCCTTCCCTCTTCTCGGGTGCTGTGACAAGTGGCATCGGAAGGTGTTTCGTGTTGCCATGACTGGCTGGGGAATTGTGGGCGTTGAAGGCCGCCTGTCTCCTTTTTTTCTTTCTTTCTTTCTTTCTTTCTTTCTTTCTTTCTTTCTTTCTTTCTTTCTTTCTTTCTTTCTCTTTCTTTCTTTCTTTCTTTCCTTCCTTTCTTCCGAGAATGAACCTCCTTTTAAGGCGGATTTTACTGAATTTCAATCTGTTTTTCTCATTTCGTTCCTCCCTTCCTTCCTTCCATCCATCTGTCCATTCATCCATCCATCCATCCATCTCTTCTCTCATTTCCTTCCTTCCTTTCTTCTTTCCTTCCTTTTCACCTTCCTTCCTTCCCTCCCCTTCTTTCATCTCCCTTCCTTCCATCCTTCCTTCCCTCCCTCCCACCTCCCTCCCTTCCTTCCCTCCCTTCTATTATCTCCCTCCCTCCCTTCCATTATCTATATACCTTCCTTCCTTCCTCCCTTCCATTATCTATCTCCCTCCCTTCCTCCTTTCTCTCCCTTCTATTATCTCCCTCCCTCC